CTTAAATATTAAATTACTCTGGGCATATCAAAAACAATTGTAACTTGAATTTATGATGTAAATATTTATGTATTCCATTCCTAGATTTTCTAGATTTAATATTAAGGGATTCCTTGTACAAATACTTGCTCCCCAAGTGCTCTCTATTTGAAATTACTATTAATTAGATTCAAACAAATTATTTATAAGAATCAAACCCCTTTTGGGTCTCCTTAGGGCATCACTTCTCTCAGTGTAGTCAGAATTTCGTATCGAATGCGGAAAAAAGCAATAGAAAATGCAAAACAAAACAAAAAAACACACACACAAAACATTGCAATGCCTTAGCCATGTTTGCTTTTTGTTTTGTTTTTCTTTTGCTCAGGGTCACCAGCAGCAAGTGAAATAGAAAACAAACATATTCGAAATCCGAAAGAACGAGAATCGTGAGATGAATGCCATATGTGGGATATAGACAAACAGATTCCCGATATCATCGAAATCAAAGCCTAAACGATTTCACAAGCATTATTATTCGCTTACTTTGTTGCAATTGTTAAGATATTCTATGAAGATATTAGACTCTGTCTCTAGATATGCAATAAGATGCAGTTTTTGTGTGCAAGTGGTTGTATTTCTTCGCTGGAGGAGGAGAAGGAAATGCTGAGTGCATGGGAAAATGCTATATAGACAGATAAGGGGGACCCAGTCAGATTACGTATACGCCTCATAAAACGCTCGTCGTCGCACCAAATTGCGACGTAATAAATTCTGTTTTGGCCATGACAGTCAGCCATCGCCGAGAGGGGAAGGAGTGGCCGGGAGAGGCAACCGTGGGCGTGTATTATGCATATGGGAACCAGGGCAAAGAATTCCGTGTGGCGACGACTTGAACTTGGAGGAGAAGGGGAACGAAGGAGAAACCCTTGCAGGACATTTAAATTACCAATTTCTTAATTGATTTTAAGAAAAGGGCAAAGGGGCACGCGGGACACACGGCAAAAGGACAAGGGACACGAGGCAAGGGAACATAGGGAAGAAAGGACACAGGACACACGGGACAAGGAACAATTATAAGGGCTCTTAAGGTTATCTATAAGTGATCTTAATTACCCTAAGTGACCTTAGTTTACACCAAGATATATATATATATATATATATATATAAATTGTCTTCAAAAATTGAAGTAAAGCCTTATATGGATTATAAAAAAAGTTATCAAGTTATAGTTCCTCACTATTATATCCTAAGTTAACTTTTTAAAGTTAAAATTTATTAACTAATTGCATTACATTTAATAAATATTCTATTCTCTATTTTAACCCAATTCAGAGCCTAATTTCCCTGAAAAAAGGATAAGATTAATCATTAATCAACGTAGTATTCACCTGTTTCGATCATTTCACTGGCTACCTAGCCCTGGAACACAAATCTTTAGCTATAGACCTGTCTGGTATATTATATTCAGAATTATATATTATACAAATTAGCAAACATTTAATAAAGGCATCCCATTCGGACGTTTAAATGGCAAGAGCACGTGCTTGTCCCAATGGCTTAATGATTTTCGGTGGTTTTTTTCGATGCGGTACTTTTCTCGTTTTTTTATTGTACAATATGCAAATTTATCTTATATTTTTGTCCGCTAATTGTTATTGCTTCGAGTCCGATGCAGTTGTGCAAATTAATGCATATTTGTATACGAGAGAGAATACGAATATTGTTTAATTAGCAACTGTGTCTGCTGCCGCTCAATTGCGTAAAATAGAGTGCAAATAAACCGATGACGCACTCACTGATGGATCAATGATGAAAATCTAGCAAAAGAATGCTGTGGGAGATGTAAGGGCCCTGTGACAGATGTTTATTTAAATTTCATATATATATTTTTCAAGTAAGTTTCAACTTGTTTTCGTCACACATTGTATTGTTACGCCCAAGTGAAGATTGCCAATTGAAAAACAGAAAATTAAATAAAAACATTTGCTCTATATTTTCTTGGGACCATTGCGCGCGATGTTAAATCAACAAAAACCTGAATAGTTAAAAAAACTAAATAAGGGAACAGCAGTTGCTCTAAAAAAATATAAAATAGAGACTCTGAAAGCACTCGAGTCAAATGTCTATTAAGCGTAGGAGTTGCAGGTGCTATGGTTTATCCTTGAGTTAATGGCTTTACCTTTGTTTGAGCATCGTAAAAATCATAAAACCATTAACTTAATGCCTCAGCTTAGTGCAAAGCAATAACAAAAGAGCAAGGCGTAACAACAAAACAAAATAAAACGAAACGCGACTAACAAAACATGTGACTTATCGCATTTGGTTACTAAAATTCATTTCCTGGCAACGACATTTAATTAAACTCACTGCACTCGAGTTGTATGAGTAATAAAGTTGGAGTAATCCCAGTTACACGGCCCCTAAAGCGATTCGATTGAGATCAGACTCAGGATCAGAAGGGGAAGTTACCCACTTAGTCATATGAGATCACAATGAGTGGACCGCGTTGATCAGAGCAGAGGTTGAATCTTAAGCATAGCTAATCCTTAAAACGATAAATATGATATATGTTATTTGTGGTTTTAATATATTTAAATACAAATATATACAAACTATATTAATACGTATGTATGTATGTCTTAATTACTTTAATCAACATAATTTTCCGATCTAATAATTTGACCTTTAGCTGTCAACTTTCAGATTAATCTAAAAGGTAACGAAAAAACGACATTAAGCGACAAAAACAAAAAGATAAAACAAGAACTGAAGGGGTATGTACTTGAAACCAGCAGCAATCACAGGTAATTTGGCTGTAAAAACGATTGGCCCCAAAACAACCAAGTTGTTGGCCGCAAATGCGCATCAACGAATTGTCACCTACACAGAGAGATAATACAGTGTTTCATTGTCTTCTTAATATTCAAAGTGAAGCATTAGAAACTGAAATTATACCATAACATAACCATATCAAATTTTTAAATATCATGCCTATGGTAATAGAATCCTTTTTAATGATTAAATAATGGTGATAAAGTTTTATCGCAATGCCTTTGCCCACATGTCATCATGATGACAGCTTTCAATTGCATTTTTTGTTATAAATAAATATGATATCTCCTGTATGTACTATCAAAATATTTCATAATATCATGATGACAAGTGCCCGGAAGCAGGAACAATTTTTTCCCAGTGTCATTATTATAAACACTATGATTAAATACTAGTTTTTTGCACTGTTCTGTGGCAATTCAAGTGACCGCCGGGGGAGGAGGGATTAGAGAACGCTCAATAAAGGCGGGCTTAAGTCCGGCAAGGCCAAGGCACTATCTGTGCGTATGCGTAATGTACTTATTTATCTATCCATCCACATATCTATATATAATTGTTTATATATATAAACTATATAGCCTTTAGGGCAAGTCATGGTGAGATAATAATGGCAAATGTCACAAAACCCACTGGGGGCAGGCATTGAAAGAGCTTTTGATTGCTTTTCGCACGCTGCTATCAAACAGCAAACAAATGGCAACAATAATAATTGATCGTGATGCGTGGTGAGTGGCGAGTGGCGGAGCACACTTACTTCAAGAGGGAGCGCGGTGTGAGTCATGTGAATAATTCGTGAGATATTTCTGCACATTCATGCTGATAGATCAGGAAAGCTAAGTTGATATGCCTCCCTCTGTCTATCTCTCTCTCCCTCTCTCTCTTTTCTTTTCCCCATTTATCCCCCAAAAAAAAAACGTGACGTCACTTGTGGCTTTGCATACTGTGGTGAAATTCCCCATCAAAAACACACAGGATCTTTATTTATTACTAATATTCTCTGCGCTCTCTTCTTCCTCTCGGCGAGTGCAGGAATACCCCGGCTTTTGGTCGCACATGGCGTATGAGCAATCTGTTTGCCTGACGTCACGGCACACAATGACTTGGCGATTCCCTGAATTCTAGGGAATATCTATATCTAGTGATTAGTGCTCCGTTTTCCACTTTCGATTGGTCACGCCAGCGGAAGAACATGCCAGAAGTTTCCACCCAAGGCCGTTTCCACCCCAAAAACAAAAAAAAAAGATTCGAAACACACACAAAAAATAGGCGGAAAACGCATAAAACAGTATGGGAATGGATGGGGGCAAGTGTAAATCACATGCACACACAAAAAGTGTACGAATGTCAAGGCTGTAGCCGCAACAATAACAACTACTAGCACAAATACTAAGCCCTCCGTCTGGCCGGTGGATACTTAAAATCGAATTGCCCCGTAATTACGGACAAATAACATGGAAAATCAATATAAAAAAAGAGAAACAACAAAAAAATAAAAGGGCAAAGGAGGGAAAGAAATAATAGTTGTTGGCTGCGCTGGTAATTACGCATTTACAAAAATTACCCATAGACACAATTACTTACAGTGCCAGTCGCACAATAAGTACGAATCAAAGGTAATTTTCAAAGAGTTTACTATAAATAATAATAACATAATTAAAATCTATTTCAAGCGCTAAGCATTTATCTTGTAAGTGTAAAGCTTTCAAAAAACTCCCTGAGGTGTGAAAAGCATTTAATAATAAATATTTTCGAACCGGTTTTGGTTTATTAAGTTAACAAACAAACTCTAATTGATTTATATTTGAATTTATTCTTGTATATTTATCAAATATGTCAATTTTAAGTAAAGAAATACAATTCTTTATTTCAAAAAGGCTATAACATGCATAATTCAAATGTCAAATCCTAATTCCAGTTTAAACGCTGGCCCTACAACACAGCAACAATACCATTTCTTTTTAATGTACTTCTTCCAGTGGCCACTATTATTGAGACCGCTGCTGTTTGCCCGGCTCCTAACACTCACACACGAGTGTGAAGCTTTGCCCCTGTGACCCCGCAAAATCATTATAAAACCTGCCTCGTCATCGGCTGCCAACTAGTGTTAAGTAAAAGAGCGGCAACAAGGCAACAACTACAATATCCACTCGGATCAAAGGTAAATAGCAAAAGCAACAAGAACAACTTACCGGTTAAAAGGAAGAAGGCGACAAAACAAACACAAACAAACGCAGTTACAAGTCGCAGGCACGCGTGCTCCAATAAGAGAATCTCAGCTGTTGCTCTGGCGACGTCGGCGTCCTCAAATCAGAAGAAGAATAATGTATAGGCACTCCTGCACTGGGGCGGCGGCAACGGCGACGGGTTTGGGTTGTGTAACGACGTTCTACTTTCTCGTTTTCTCAGCAATTCGTTGAAAATTTCCCGCTGCTTTTATCGTCCTTTTCCTTTTATTTCACAATTTCAATGGAGTTCTCTTTCTCGTTGACCAATTGCCAATTGGAAAATGCACACGTTTGTTGGGCAAACCAAAAACAACAACAAAAAAACGGCAAGCAACGGTAACAAAAAGCAAATAACAACTGTGTGGCGGCCGCGTGTTTTTTGTTCCTCTCACTCTCACACTCTTAGCAGCGGTGGCGGCGTTGTAAACAGATATTGCAATTGCGACAGAATCTGCAGATATTGTTGGCCTATTGCTAATTATAGATATTGCGGCTGCCACCGGAATGGGAATCCGCGCATCCGAGTCCGAGTCCGAAATTCACGCGAAACGTGCTGTGCTCCCCCGCCCGGAAAAAAGGTTCGTTTCAATTGGAAGTGTGCTGCAAGTGCGCTGGTGTGTGTGGCGGTGTGGTGTGGGTATTTTTGTATTTCACAATATAATAGATTCCACTCAGAGGCTGATTGATGGCGTATATTATTGCGCGAATCTATATTGCCGCCAAATGATCTGGGGAGGTTAACGTAAACAGCACAACGCGGTATTAACACAATTCCAAAAACAATAAAACGGCAAACGTTAACTGCGCGGCTATTTATGTAAAAACGAAACATCGGCCCGTGTGACCCTACCACAGTTCTTAACCAGTCGCGGCCGGCGCACACCCACGCCCGCCTAACGCAACAAGTGCGGTCTGGCCACACTGGCGCGCCGCTTCAAAACAAATAATGCCGAACAGCTGACTTACCCATAAAACGATGGAACGAAGATAATCCATATACCGCTTATTGGACTAAATTAACGATTTTACTAAAAGCACAATCAGCTGTTGCTGTTTTCGATTTCTTGTGGCGACGCTAATTAGATCTGAAGTTTAGTGTGACCGATTGAATGGCACGCCAGTGCTGGAAATCGCACCATTTAACTCTTGGTTGCCGTTCCTATTTTGGAACATTCGAGAGTTTCTTATTTCACCATATCGGGAAATATGATATGTGATATCCTTATAAAATGTATTTCTTTATAGAAAAATATGCTATTTATTTTTCATATAATTGGTGATGTGTAGGTGTAATAAAATGTGAAATTTATAATCAAAATAATCAGAATTGTTATATTAAAAAAAATAACAATCTTTCTTACAATTTAAAGTACATATGTACTTTTATATCCTTATATTGTCTAAACATTCAGGATTTTGAAGAAAAACAAAAACCAGACTTGACAATAAATAGCAATGTGTTACCACAACTGAATATATTTCCTTATAATTTCCGTTTTCTTCATTTTAAAGAAATTTAAATATTTATATTAACTCATGACTTTACATAAAAACAGCTTTACATCTTAATTAATTAATTTAACTAATGAATATATTATATTATTATTATAAATATTAGGGGCCATTTGAGAACATTTAAACCATTTTTTTTATCGGAACATACGATATGATATGTGATATCCTTATAAAATTGATTTCTTTATAGAAAAATATACTATTTATATTTCATATACATAATTGCTGTGTTAATGTAATAAAATGTGAAATTTATAATAAAAATAATCCGAATTGTTATATTAAAAGAATAACAATCTTACAATTTCAAGTAGTTGTATATCCTTAGATTGTCTAAATATTCAGGATATTAAAGAAAAACAAAAACTGACTTGACAACAAATAACAATTTTTTACAATTGAATATATTTCCTTATTATTTCCGTTTTTCATCATTTTAGGAAATTTAAATATTTATATTAACTCGTAACTTAACATAAAACCAACTTTACATCGAAATAATATAATGGTGTCCTTAAATTTAATTAACTTAATATAATTAAGGAATATATTATATTAATATTATAAATATAAGGGGTTATCTGAGAATACTAAAACGATTTTTTTTATTGTTAATAATCCGAATGTACATTTGTATATATTACGAGTGGTTCTTGTATTCACAAAGTTGTCGCGTTTACTACTTAAATATAGTAAATCCAAGGCATTTTTTCTAGTCCACTCGAGATGAAATTTAAACGTACTGAAAATGGAGTAGTCGTCAAAATATAAGACTCACAATTGCAGATGCATCAGGGCGTATTCTGTTAAAATGATTATAACATTGCTTGCAGCGGCGACGCCCATGATCTCGCCGTGCTCAAATTCGATGTTGACGACTTTCTGTTTGCCTATGACGACGGGCCCACCGTTGCGCTTGCGCAGACCCTCGGCGGATTCGTGGCGGGAGTGGTAGATGAGCACATTACGCCTGGACTCACATATAACGCAGTACTTGAACTCGTCGCAGCAAGCGGTGAACTTGCGATTCAGCTTTGAGGCCTGTACATAGCCGAGGGCGGGCAACTGGCCCACGTGGCGTACATCCCACTCATCCGGCCGGGTAGGCTGGTATACCTGCAGCCACACGGATGCGTCCACGCCTTCCCGAGTTGCGAAGGCTGGCGGAAATCCCGGGCGTACATCGGTGACGAAGAGCAACGGCTGTTCGGCCAGGAAGATGGTATGCGTAATTTTGTTTGTGGGCAGGTTGAAACGCACTACAAGGGGAAGAGATAAAAAAAATGTTACGTATATGAAATTCCAACGAATTGATGACTTCTGCGAACACTCACCGATGTGGTTGCCATCATCCATGTTACCCAGGTCGCAATCCTCAATGGGATCCACCAGATTGGGTATGGGCAGCGCAGAAGCATTCAACGGTGCCGCACTTTCGTCGTCATCTTCAGCATCGTCCTGCTTTAGCACCTGTGGCCATCTCAGATGCTGCGTCTGCTTGGCCAGTGTCAAATGGAGAGCACTTTCCTCCACCAGCCAAACCATGGGTTCAGTGTGGACGGGCAAGTATAGTTCACCCGCCAGCAGCACCTGCTCCAAGTACATTACATCGAGAGTGGTAGATGTAAGGCGAATTGTAATGTCGTCACGGGTGGCGTTCTCAGGCAGAGGAAAGCGGACTATCACCTCGTTATTTGTCTGATCAAAGGTGTGGGTTACCTTGCCACTTGCATCCTCGGCATCTTCTCTAATGGTTACGTCGTGACCGTTCTGGGCCTCCTCAGGCGGCGCAGTGGGAACAGGAGCGGGGGCTGCAGCTAGTGCGGCGGCATCGGCCGCTTCGCGTTGTGCGCGTGTCTCGACCTTGCGATTGGTTGCTATGATCAGACTCTCGCCCCGCGGTTCGAAGGCGCAATATTGCAGGGTTCCTGTTGTTTCCAGTCGCTCGCGGATCGAATATTCCCATTCGTTGCTAAATATGTTAAAGATCCAGTGGCCCCAAACGATTTCCATATATTGCATTCCCTCCTGTGAGACGCGTGCCGCACCTGCTTCGCGACGGAAGATGCGGCCGGCCACAACAGAAATCTGCTTGCGCTCCTGCACCACATCTAGGCGGGCATTGTACATGATGTAGCCGCGCACGCCGCTCTCCCTGTCCACCGGCGCGCGGGTGACCAGTTTCCATTTTTCGGCGGTGGGGCGAGAGCGATCGCCGGTGTCCAGCAAATGGTAGGTGGTAATGCCGTCACAGATAACACAGAAGCGCTCTGAGATAAAGCACATCGAGTAGTTGTAGTCGCCAGGCTGCTGTTCGTGGCCGTCGCCGTGGTCGTAGTTCTCAATAGTGTATACAACACGAAGACCAAGGGAACGTCCGATCTCCGGATCGTACATGCACTGCATTACCTGGTGGCCCGAGTTTATGAAGTAGGTGTTATGGCGGATCCACGGGTCCGCGTACAAAAGGTTTTGACGGGCAAACAGCTCGTTATGGAGCCGTGAGTATTGGTCTCTAACGAGGTGCATGGTCGCCGGCGTCGAATGCAAATCCTCGCGCAAAATCGGCACCGGGTCGAATGAGATCTTGTACCCCTTGAAGTTATTGCAGAGCAAGTTGCGGTCCACACGTAACTCGATGACCGGCATCCTGATAAGTAAAATTTGAGTATTTTCGTAAAAAATTATATTTCAACTGCTATAAATTTGTTTGTTCCAAACTCCAAAAGAAAATTAAATGCCGTTTTCCCTTGTCGTGGGCTATCGTTATCGAGTGGTTTCGCCAGACTACTTGGATTTCGATAGGTTTGTTGTCGGGCAATTTATGAATTTTCAATGGGACAGTTTATTACAATTATATTTAAATTTTACATTTTTTGTTGTCTTTAATTTACTTACTTTAATATTCCTTCCACAAAAAAAAAAAAAATAATAACGATATGCCTTTTTAAGCCGCCAATAGTCGATTGTCCGTGTTTTAAATGCCGATATCACATACGTGTTCCCTGAAGTGTTGGAAAGCGTCGCTCCGGTCAAAAAGAGTGTTGACACGTGTCAGAACATTCTGTAGTGTTTTTAAGTGAATTCTTTTTTTTTAGCAATTAGCAAACAAAACGTAATCCGGACGACGACGACAACTGACCGGGTGAGGACGACAAATGGTATTTGCAACAGTCCTGGGTGTGACCCGTGCCTTCCCCAATTTTTTCTTTTGCAGTTAGAATTTAGCATCGCAGCGGCAGCAGAAAGAGGCGAGGCAGTAGAGTTCGTCAATAAAAGAACAGCGCAGCGAAGCAAAGGGGCGACGATACGAATCCGCGGACTAGAGCCACCAGCCAACAGCAGCTGTTTCGTGGCACCGGACTGGACCGGACGGGAGCGATCCAAAGTAACATAGGCGCAGATTCCAAACGCAATACCCAATACCAAAAAGACGGCCATGGCCCAAAGTCGAAGCCACCGCACACAGATTCTGCTCACCTTGGGCGCCTTGGTGGCCCTGCTACAGTGTATCGCCGCTGTGGAGTTCACCTTCGACCTGGCCGACAATGCGGAGGATTGCTTCTACGAGGAGATCAAAAAGAACTCCAGCGCCTACTTCGAGTTCCAAGTATCCGCCGGTGGTCAGCTGGACGTGGACGTGACGCTGAAGGATCCGCAGGGCAAGGTCATCTACAAGCTGGAGCGGGCTACGTTCGATAGCCACCAGTTCACGGCGGAGATAACGGGCGTATATACGGCCTGCTTCGGCAACCAATTCTCAGCTTTCTCGCACAAAATCGTCTACGTGGACTTCCAGGTGGGCGAGGAGCCGGCGCTTCCGGGCGTCGACGAGCATGCCACCGTGCTTACCCAGATGGAGACCTCATCGCAGGCGATTCACAAGGGCCTCAACGAAATTCTCGATGCCCAGACGCATCATCGGCTGCGCGAGGCGCAGGGACGCAAGCGGGCCGAGGATCTTAATCAGCGCGTGATGGTGTGGTCGTCGCTGGAGACGGCCGCCGTCGTACTCATCGGTCTCGTCCAAATCCTGGTGCTGCGCAACTTCTTTACGGACCGCAAGCCCAGCCAGGCGCACTACGGCCGTCTGTAAGGGCCCGATCAGAAGTCTGAGCAGCAAGGCGCAGGGAGGAAGGAGCAATGAGAAGCAGTAGTTGGACTCGGAGCGCCGCATCTCTTATTTTAATTATTTTTTTTTTCGGTGTTCCTTTAGAACGCTCTGCGTTGATATATAGAAGAGCTCACGTTGTCAATATCTCTTTCTCCGCTCCTATATCTGCAACGTATTCATTCCCACTCCCCCACGGGCAGTTTCTTTTTTTCTTTTTGGTGTTAGCCGGCCCCGATCCAACCTACCTACCGACATGTAAAATCTTTTTGATGAGACCCCGCAACCCGGAAACAGAATGAATGTTTTTTTTTCTACATTAAATACATGCAAAAGCAACCATAACTCGATAGCTAAAAGTAAACTGAAACGTGTTTCATTCGCGGGCATCCTTGCACTTCGTTTCAGGTCTCTTTTGGTGCCTCGATTCGATGTTATCATAGACATAGCTAGCGTAGTTTTAACATTGTATGTATTGTATGTATTAGTACATTTATGGGCCAGAAGCAGCTGAATCAATATCATGGCACTCTGTACAGACACCAGAAAAAATAGCTATTCAACTAAGTAATCATGTTAACAATGATAATGGTCGTGTGGGTGCGAAGTAGTACTCTGCTGATATGGCGTGGCATAGTATTTAAGGATGATTTTATTACAACTTGAGTTTGTATGTAATGTTTTATATGATTATGATTGCCTGTGAGTTTAGTATAGAAAGACCCCTAGATTTTTTTGTACCGATTCTCCAAGAAAACCCAAAACCAAGGTTTCAATGAGTTGGAGCTTTGAAAAGCATTCTGCATACGCTGGTTTTCAAAATATAATGTTATGTAATCACATTTATTTTGATTATTTGTGGCACGTACATATCAAATTACTATCATTATTAAATCACTTCTGATCAATTAGAATTGATGCCTTAATATTGTAGGGACATTTATCTTATCTGCAAGCTATGTAGATTCTGAGGTATTGATACCCCAGCTGTTGTAGTAGCTCCCACATTTACCTCCGTTCCTCCAGCGGGTTGGGAGCAACGGATTCGATTCGAGTTACTAAACGATAATTATGCAAACACAAAATTATTGCCACTGCCATGATAATACCACATTCAAAGGTCGTAAATCTTTTTAACTGTTTTATATGCGGCTGTCATCTTTTCTATTGTTCAACTCCATTGACTGACTCTCGGAATTTCGCACACTCCATCCCAGTCTGAGGAGAGTCATTGCTAAATCTGCCCAGATTTATGTGTATATGTATATATAAATAGTATATATGCTAATATCGGCGTTTGTCTCCATACCAATTAATAGTATTTAAATCGGTCCAAGACAATCACAGTGACACGTCGTTGTCCATATGTTTATTGCCCCATTTATAACAAAAGGTGCTAAGACAAAAAAGCCACTTGAAATGGTTGGAAAATAACGTTTTTTTTTGCTGTCCGAGCTGCATTGAAATTTAAAATAAGATGGGAAACAGCATTGTTTAATTATTTTAAAAATATATGACGAAACAAAAATAATACTGAAAACTCACAAGCTTTTTTAATTTCGAATGCATTAAGTTAAATTTATTCATCACATACTCAATACTATTAATGTTTAAAAATTAATAATTTTAAATCTCCTATTTTATTTTTATTTATTTGAACAAAATGGATCCGTTCACAATGATTAAATTCAAACTGCGACGGTTTCAAATTTCAGCGTGCCGATATTAGCTTTCCTTCTTGTCGTCCCATTCGATAGATCACAGATGCGATTACATTGAATGTCAGACTGGTGTCATCTGGACTCTAGCTCCTAAGGCTTCACAAATTTTCACCGGCATCGCTCATTTCGACTTCAACCTCCCAAGCGCTACTACCAGCACATCCATTGAAAATGGACGCCTTCAATGATGAGTCGCTGACCAAGCAAGACCAGCAGAAAACTGAAAAGAAACTCAACGTGCAGAAATTCAACGAGCAGAAGCTCGACGAGCAGAAACTCAACGAGCAGAAACTCAGCGAGAAGAAGGAGAACGACGCACACAACGAAGTGGGCACCAGCATCGAGGCAGAGATGTCCGGCACTAAAAAAGTAGAGCCGGAAACTAAAGGGAACGATGGCAAGGGTCTCCATGTGCTACTGGGCAAGCGTGCACGCAAGTCCGATTCCACCAATAACGAGCCGGCCACGAAGAAGAAGCTAGAGGAGAGCAACACCCAGGACGTGGCTAATGCCGCTCCATTCAACGCTAAAGGAGAGCCAGATATGAAAAGAAGAAGCTAGGGGAGAGCAAGACCCAGGACGTGACTAATACCGCTCCATCCAACGCTGAAGGGGAGCCAGATATGAAGAAGAAGAAGCTAGAGGAGATCAAGACCCAGGACGTGGCTAATGCCGCTCCATCCAAAAATGAAGGGGAGCCAGATATGAAGAAGAAGCTAGGGGAGAGCAAGACCCAGGTCCTGGATAATGCCGCTCCATCCAAAGCTGAAGGGGTGTCATCCAAGAAGATTTCGGAAGAGGAGGCATTCAACGTTACCAACATCGACAAGATTAACGAAGATGACGATGATGACGAGTCGGAAACTGAAGTGGAGACTGCAAAGGACACTGGAAATGATGAAGAGAATCCCCTTGAAGCTAAAGGAATCTATGGATTTTTTTAATGCAAAGCTTCAATAAATAATATATAAAAATATTAACAAATCACATGAACAGTATTGAAATCAAATTTCTTTATATGTATACATATATATATATATCTTTGGCTTGTTGTGTTTAACTGGTTTAAACTAATCTAAGGTAATCTCTAACTCGCTAATATTGAAATTAATTGCTTTCGAAACATCTTGCTGAGTTATTGGAATTTCTCTTGGGCTTTTATCCCTTCCCTCTTGATGCGACTCTTGGCCCCAAAACGAGCTTCTTTGGCCTGAACTCTTCACTTGGCAACAAACAGATGCCGATCGAAGTAGAGGCTTGGACTAAACAACAAAACGAATAAGAAGAAGACGAAGAAAACCAACCGATTGGGCCAAGTGAAAGGCAAGCGACTGAAGGACATGTGTAAATGAATTGTCAGCGGATCGATCGGTGGATTGATTGATGTCTAAATGGGGTTAATCAAACGTCAACACACTTTGCATGCTAATTATCCATCCATATTGATAATCATAATAGTAATAATGCGAGTAATCCGTGGCACACGTGCCGGAACCCGGACCCAGACCCAGACCCAGAAGCTGACCATTGGGCATACGGACCCTATTGCTTAAGACCTATTAGATGATATTATCTATAATCTGGTTAAATTTTAATAGTCCATATAATTTTGTTAGTGTCTCTTTTCTGTGCTCTGGGCTGCTTATAATTACACACAATACATATATGTACGCATTTATGTACATATGTATGCATGTGGGGTGACTCGCTATTTTAAGTGAACGAACATTCGTTTTACTAACCGACGACGACACAACGAGTATTCTCTTTCGACAGAACGAAGACCCAACGAGCATGCAAGTTCCGAGGGAACTTCTTACGAACGAGCGACGGCGAATAAAGACGAGCAGCAAATTTGCAGACATTTAATTTAAATAATAACCTAAAATATAATTTATTTTGGATTTTTTTAATTAGTTTTGTTATTTATCTCGTTCTTATAAATATAATTATGATTATTGACTTCAAATTTGTATGTATATGTACATATGTATGTATGGATTCGTTGGCGCTCGTTCGTAAAAAGTTTACTCGCAACTTACATCTTCGTTGGGTCTTCGTTCAGTTGCAAGAGAATATTCGTTGGGTCGTCGTCGGTTAGTACATATATATGTACATTTGTATGTATGTGTATGTGATGTCCATTTTCCAGTCTTGCGAACAAATATATGTACATATGTACATACATCACCCCTTATTGCCAATTCAGAGGCTTGAATTTAAGTATAATAAACTCACAACTTAACTAATAAAATATAAATAAACTTTCTATGAATATAATTATTTAATTTTCTGTGCAGCAATTAATTTGCATCAGGGCCCAGTGGGATTTTAAGGCCAAAAGGGGGTATTAAAAAACTACATTTCAACATCCATTCAGTTTCGCATGGCGTGGCCCAATAGATGATGCCAATCAATGAATCGACACTGTTAAGCCCCCAAAAACAAAAGCTCCGAACACGCCTCATACTTCCTTCCAACTTAACCACGATCCGCGCTCTCCACTCCCAGTCCCCAAATCTTTTCCAGCTTGCCGCCGCTGTAGCTGACGCTTCAGGTTTTATGTATCAATTAGTAGTCCGACGACACTGGTGCCATCCGTCAATGGGTGAGCTTCACCTGGAAGCTGACGCAGCGAGGGCGGCTTGAAGAGTTTGCTTACGTGATACCTTCAAGATGTATATGTAAATATACTAATTAATTTAAAATTAAGTATTAAGTAAATTAAGTATATGACAATTTATTCAACAAATCAAAGTTTTTGAAAATTCATAACTCGGCCAAAACTACGCTAATTTTAATTTGGAAAGTTTTCCGATGTTAGTTTTTATTAGCTTAATAAATCTGCATACTCAATTAATTTATTTTGCGCCGAAGATAGCTAGAAAGATTCACCTGCTGATGCTGATCAAGAATATATATGATTTATAGGGTCGGAAATTATTCCTTCACTGCGTTTTAAGCATTTGATTAAAATTATAATACCTTGCAAGCATACATATGCCGTAAAATGCTTATTACTTACAAATTATTAGCTTTAGTTGAGAATAATATTTAATTAATATTATATTATTTATTCTAGTAATTTTTTAGTAATTAATAAAATCAAGCTAAAAACAAGTTATACGTGCCAGTAGCTTGTGAGAAACTTTTTTATCCTCCCTAAAAATCGGTCAGTTTCCCTTTCTTTAATTTTGTTTTATTTATTTTCCTATTTTTTTTTTTTTTATTTTAGTTTTATTTTACGCTTGTTGATCCCAGCATCTGCATCTGTATATGTATCTGTATCTGTATCTGTATCTGTATATCTATCGCCTTTGCCAAATATTTCGATAGCTTCGCGTGTTTCTTTTGCTGCAACTGCTGTGTATTTTTTGTTTAATATTGATAGATATCTGAACAATATATGCATAGACAATAAGTATGTAAATCAAGCTGCGGTGGCCCACTAATGGGTGGCGATGTTTGTTAATGTGAATATATTCATTTTCACAGAGGACCGGTGAAAAGGGGGGAAGGGAAGCGCGAAATTAAATAATTAACAAGCCAGGCAATATGCATATCAAATTTTGTTAGTTATGCCAACAAGCGACCAACTGCAGGGAACACACTCATAAATAAATAATTATGTATCTCTGATGCT